ACCTATGACACGCATGTCAGAGGTGACACGCGAACTCATTTTTTTGGTTGATTTTTTTTTGTTAAATGGCATTTAAATATATAAAATAAATATCAAAAATATAAGTCTTTGTTTTACTATGGTTGCAAATATCAAAAAATTTCTATATGTGACACGGCACCAGAGTTAAGTTAGGGTTTTTCAAAATGCTGACACGCCGAGCTCAAAACGTTCGCCATCATTGTCCTAGGATCACTGAACCTGGAGGTGGGCTTGGGGGACCTTAGACAGGAGATAAACCTAGATTTCACAGAGACATAATCCTACACCAGCCTTTCATGAATAGGGCGTCCCAAACACTGTATACACACTTTAACAACTCATAGCTCAATTTTGAAAACAAAATGTATTTTAGTAAACACTGCCTTTATAGTTATTCCAAGTGTGTGCCTACTTTTTGGGACACCCTATATAGCTTAAACCAGCACTGTCCAGTAGAAATGTAAGATCAGTTGCATATTAGATTTTAAATTCTCTAGTAGTCACATTTTAAAATTTAAAAGAAACAAGTAAATTAATTTCAAGAAAAATATTTTCAGTAACCCAATATATAAAATGTTAACATTTCAACATGTAATGATATAAAGAGCTATTGAGGTATGTTTATGTTCCTTTTTTCATACTAAGTCTTCCAAATCCAGTGTGCATTTTACAGTGATAGCACATCTCAATGTAGACATTCCAAGTGCTCATTAGCCACACCCCTCCGGTGGCTGCTATGTTGATGGCACAGAGATGAATGACAAGGGCTCTGGAAACAGGACATCCGGGTCAGGATCCTGGTTCTGCCACCTACCAACTGCACGACCTTAAGCAAATGTATTTAACGTCTCTGTATTTCTTTCCTCATCTGTAAAATTGGGATAATAATGTTAACTACTTCATGAGGTTGCACAGACTTTCCACAAAGTGCACAAATCTAAGGGAGCACCTGGTTCATATAGGATGTTGGGTGAATGCTGGCCATTACTCTTATTATACGAAAGGTTGGCTCTTGGGATCAACTTGTCCAACTCCTCATTCCATAGATGAGGAGACGGGCTCAGAGTTTGGAAGGCCCTGGTTTCAAAAGCAAATGCCACGGCTCCTCCTGATAGACTCCCTCTCTGCTGGCTGGCTCTGAGACAGGATCTGCCACTAATTCAAAAAGCAGCATCTGGCCCTACCTGGGTTCTGCAATCCTGTTTGGTAGGCCAGACAGGGTCACTATTTGAAGTTGGCACTGAAGAGATGGGGGCTGGGCCTCCTGGCTGCTGCCTCCATCCGGACCCATTAGTTGGGCTGGCTGACCCCAGCACTGAGTTCAGTGCTTACTCAGCAATGGCAGGGCTGGCTTCCACTGTTGGCTTTTACAGCCTATTGTTTATTAACTCGTCTTCCTTCCTTTTTTTTTAATCCTCACCCAAGGATATGTTTAAAGAGAGGAGAAAAGAGAGAGAGGAATAGGGAGAGAGAGAGAAGGGGGGGAGGGGAAGGGGGAGGGGGAGGGAGAGAGAGATCCATATGTGAGAGAGAAACATCGATCAGTTGCCTTCCGTATGCACCCTGACAGGGGATTGAACCCACAACTTTTTGGTGCACAGGATGACACTCGAACCGACTTAACCACCGGGCCAGGTCTATCAGCACTGTTTTTTAAACCTCCTTCTAAGACATCTGCAGTCCCCATTCACCAGCAAGCAAAGATTCTGGGTAGGTAGTGAGCTCCCCGTATATGTCTCAAAAAAAAGAGGGTGAAGAGGTACTAGGTGCCCACATGTCAATGCAGCAGAGCACTTTCTCAGGTTGAGAGCAGACTGCCCTATGATTTGTCTACAGCATCTATTTCCACCCTTTCTTTCCCGATATTCAATGTAAATCATCTATCCTCCTTTAACAAGCTCAGTCAGCATAACTCCCATGGCTCGAGTCTTGCTAGCAGCTGGAATCAGACCAGTTTTAAGGGCTCAAACTTCTCAGCATGCACTGAGTTAAAGCTCTGCTTATTCTTTATGCCAAATAGTGTTTTATTTATTTAGTAGATTTTTATTGAGCATCTACTATGTATTAACCCCTGTGCAAAGTGCTGGGAATGAAGCTTTTGTGGACCTTATGATTCAGTGTAGACGATAGACAAACAAGAAATGATGATGAAGTACCACAAAGGGTTGATGTAGAAAGTGTCCAATGTTCTAGAAATTGTAAGGGGTACTGGACAAAACTCTTTTCTTAAGAAATAACATCGGCCCTAACCGGTTTGGCTCAGTGGATGGAGTGTCGGCCTGCGGACTCAAGGGTCCCGGGTTCGATTCTAGTCAAGGGCATGTACCTTGGCTGCAGGCACATCCCCAGTGGGGGGTGTGCAGGAGGGAGCTGATCGATGTTTCTCTCTCATCGATGTTTCTAACTCTCTATCCCTCTCCCTTCCTCTGTTTAAAAAAACAATAAAATATATTTTTTTAAAAAAAGAAAGAAAGAACATCGAAGTTGAGACATGAAAAAACAGTAGGAGAGAAGCAGTTAAAGAGAGACCATGGAGTGCTCCAGGCAGAGGAACAGCATAGACAAAACATGGGGTGAGAGAAAACGGTGTGTGGGAAGAATCGACTAAAGTCCAGCCCAGCTGGGCTAGAGAGAACAGGCAGAGTGTGGCAAAAGACGAGGAGGCGGCCGGACTTTGAGGATATTGAAGCGCTAAGGAATTTGGACTTTAACCTGAGGGTAAGAGCAAACAGCCTGGAGAATAACATCTTTCAAAACATAGGGTTTCTGGGAACAAATCACCAAAATGTGCTTCAGAAGCTGGTGGTGGAAGCCTGGAAAGTACTGTTTTCCTTTTCGTCTTCATGCTCTTTGTACTAAGGCTCAGACCTCCATTGAAAGTATTCAATAGCCTGAAGGCCTCCTCAGTGCCCAGCCATGCTCCCCGACCCCTCACCCCACTGCCCATGAAATCAGGACTCCTGAGTCTGGTGCCGCACAGGCCTTCCTTACGCCCTTGGAACTGCAGGGCCTCTGAGGCCTTCTCGTCCCCCCAAAAGAAAAGGAACAGCAGGGCTGGGACTAGGGTGAGGCAAGTCAGGCGCAGAGGGTGCAGAATTTAGAGAGGTGCTCACTCTCCGGTGCCAGCTCTGCACTTCCATGACCCTAGGTGCCACTTGCATCATCCTACCCCTCGCTCTATTGGCTCACACTTTGAGGGCAGGGATTATAACTTCAAGAAAACTCTTTGACATCTCTCATGGTGTTGACATGATGCCAGGCACACATTTTGAGGGTCACTAGATGCCTACTGATGGTAATGAGCAATGAATTTCTGACAAACTGATAGGTGTACAGGTGTTTGTATCTTTGGGTGTATATGACCAACAAAAGACAACGGAACAAAGTGAAGAGAGCTTGAGATTGGAGCCTAGAACCCTGGATTCTGGTCTCCTCTCTGCCACCTATGTGCTAGGGCAGTGGTCGGCAAACTGCGGCTCGCGAGCCACATGCGGCTCTTTGGCCCCTTGAGTGTGGCTCTTCCACAAAATACCGACTTCTGCGCATGGGCCACGAAGTTTCAATCGCACTGTACGTGTGCGCCTGCACGTGGTATTTTGGGGCCAAAGAGCCGCATGTGGCTCTCGAGCCGCAGTTTTCCGGCCACTGTGCTAGGGGAACTTGGGTAAATTTTTCCCCATGGCTTCAATGAAATGAGGTGGTTTAGTAAATCACATTTATTGAGCACATAGTCTGTTTCAGCCACTGTTCTCTGTGCTATAACTCATTTCAAGACTTCCTGGCATTCAAGGTTCCCTTCATTTCAACAGTCAGTGGTTGGAGATAAGGAAGGCTTCACAGAGAATGTGGGACTTGAGACAGACCTTCCAAGTTCCCACGGGAACATAATATCTTAAATCATAATAAAAACATGGTATCCCAAGGTACTTCTCCAACAGAAGACGGAGAATCACCTGCCTCAGAATCACCTTTGGAACCTGTCTGGTATAGATTCTCAGCTTCTGCCCCTGAGATTCTAATACAGTGATTCGGAAGTGGGGCCTGGGAGTCTGTATTACAAGCTTCCCAGGTAGGCAGACAGGTTTGCAAAGTACTGATCTCAACGCATTCCCCTATCTGTGGACAGAATCATACCTCGACAGCCCAGACCTAGAGCTGCCTGACCTGAGCATCAGTATCTCCAGGCAGAGAAATGAATTCATTGATTGAGTAATGCAGCAAATATTAAGCACCTGTTGTGTTCTAGGCCCTGTGCCAGGTATTGATTATGGTCCCTACTCTGGAGGGACTCCTGATCTGTCACTTATTTTAGAAGCAAGCCATCTAGCCAGAACCAGCAGGGCCTTAGATAGAGATCATCAACCAATCCCATTACACAGATGGGAAAACCAAGGCCCTGAGAGGAAAAGCAAGTTGTTCAAGACTACACAGGAGCAAATGAATTTCCTGCTCTCAAAGCAGCTGAAGTATCCCAATGTTCTACCCAGGACACCCACAGTTTGCTTCCTAAACATTAAACCTATACAGAATAAATGCTCCCTGAAGTCTAACTCCAGATCTTGCTGACATTTTAAATCCTCAACAACCGAATGGACGGAGAGGAAAGTGGGAACGCCATGGGGTATTTTAAAGCCCAGGAGGAAGAAAGGCTCTAGACTAGGCTCGAGCCTTCCCAACACTGAGCCTTCCATCACGTCTTCCGGGCTGTCTAAAGCCCTTTCCCGGGCTGTGCCGGCGGGCATGCTGCCTGCCTCCTCCGCACTTTAGAGCCAAAAGAAGGGGGGCGCCTCTCAGGTTCACAAGGACCTGGCTCCCACCTCTCTGTCCAGACTTGCTGACGTCACTGTCGCCCCGAGCCTGGGGAGGGGGAGAAGCAGGGAAATCATGCCCGCCCCTGCAATGCCAGCCGCCCTGCGATTGGCTGCAAGGGCTCGGGGCGGGTCGCGGATTGGTCATCGCCGAGGGCTTGAAAGGTGGCTGAGCGCACTGGACACCTCAGACGGACGGTGGCCCGGGATCAGCGGCTCAGGCCAGTCCCAGACGCACCCTCCGCGCGCGCGCGCCATGGCCCGGCTGCTCCGGGCATCCTGCCTTTTCTCCCTGCTCCTGGCCGGCCTCGTGCCGAGCCTGGGGCAGGAGAAGTCGAAGGTGAGTGAGCCTCCGGGGAGGGGGCCGGGGAACGCGCATAGCCCCCAGGTGTCCATCTCGCGGTGGCGAGGCACCCCTCCTCCGGGGCTCCCCTCCAGAAGGGCGACCCTAGGGGAGAGGGACGCCTTTAACTCCGGTTGCTTCCCTCTCCTGCACCGGGACCCCCACACCCAGACCCTCCGTCTCCTCCTCGCAGTTCCGTTTGTAGAAGGCCTGGGTGCCCCGGGTGCGCAGTGAATAGCGGGGGAAAGTCCCTCTCCCCGAGTTCGCGAGTTCTCCCCCATGGCTACCTGGGGTCGCCTTGCTACATCCATGCCACCTCTGGCCCGGAGCTGCTCCCCTCCAGACAGGCCTGAAGGGGGTGCGCTCACAGAAAAGGCCTAGAGACTTCGCAACTGGTTGGCTGTGGAGGTTCCCAGGGAGACTGACAAGGCAGGAGGAAGCGGGGAGAATTGCAGCTGGGTGGTCCCCTGTTTTGAAGAATTGCCTTGGGGGCTCTTCTAGTCCAAGAATAAACGCAGGTAAAGATGCACTGGGATTCGGGGCATTGGTAGACGAGGCAGAGATCTGACACAGAAGGAGCTCTGGACCGGCAGCAGGGCACAACTCCCAGGTCCCTGACTAGTCCCGACTCCTTAGGACCTGATCCTCCATCTGCAGGAGGTGAGTGTGGGCTGAGGTGGAGTGTGTGTGTGTGGTGGCGAGGGGGGTGGGGGGTAGGGCAGTGGCAAAATGAAGCTGATGATTTCAGAAGGGATGCTGCTTGGAGAAGCTGTTCTCAGGAGGGTTTCCTGCCCTGGGGTGCCCTGGGGCAGCCTCCACCCCCGCCCCCAGCCCAACCTGCCCATATTGGCCTGAGCACACCTGGTAGTCGGAGCAAGCTGGGCACTGCCAGCTCAGTGGGAGAGGCAGAAGTCTCCTGAGCCTCCGTGTATCCCAGCAGGCCGTGTGACCCTTCACTAGAGTGGGGGTGCTGAGGCCAGGACGACCTAGCACGCCTATCTCCTTGGATGGCATGTGCCAAGGTGGGCCCTAGGATTTCTTCTCTTTAGGGAGGCAAAAGCCAGGCCTAGGGCTAGACCCAAAGAGAGAGATTCCCGTCTCCAGCCTCCCAGCACACACATACACCAGGCTTGTGCAAGCTCAAGAGAAGCTTTGAGCCTCTGTGTTCCTAAAATCTTCTGGGTCTTTATTCTAAGATCTTATGAAACAGAGTCTATGATTCTGTTTCCAAAATGCTGTCCACTGCCCAGGAAGCCAGTTCCAAGCACAGGGTTCCTTCATCATAGCTGTGTGTTCTCTGTAGAACTCTGGGGAGGAATAGATGGACTTAGAGAGAACAGGATGGGGATGGCCAAGAAAAGTCTTAGGGTAGGTATGATCCTATCAGATGCTACCAGCTAGGACTTGCTGGCTAATAACAGTTTGGGCATGCCCATCTTTCTTCCTTGGTCAGCAGATAGTTGCGATGTCATAACCCTGGTTCTAGGGCTCAAATGTTTACATTACCCTCACCCCAGGGCCAAGAGGTCAGGCAGGGGGCACGTGGAGAATGGGCAGGACCAAAGGTGACTGCCCCAGAGAGAGGTTTTCTCCTCCCACTCAAAGGGAGGGGCTAGAGAACAAAGGGAATCCTCCTTTCCTTGCTGTGTCCCCTCTCCAGTCCAGCTCCGGGCTGCCCAGACTCCCTGTCCTTGCTCTGCAAAAGGACTGTGCAGAAGCTGTAGAGAGCAACAGCTGCTGACGTGTACAAGATCCTAGTAACCACTGGTTTCTAGGTGACTAAATCAGGCAGAGAGAATCATGGAACCACAGACGGATGGAGTTGAAGGGCCCTTATGACAGCCCTGAATCTGACCCCATCTCACAATAAGCAGCGGGGAGAGCAGTAGTCACAGAGTCGGAGGCTTGGCCAGGCCCAGAGCTCAGGTCCCCTGCCCCCAGTCCAGTTCTCCCTTCACAGCATCCCATTGATGGGAGTGGTAAGATAGGAGAGGAGAAAGATGCAAGCGCAGCCGCTGAGTCCCTGTGCGCCTCCCACTCTCCAGCCATCAGAACTCTCCTGTCTTGTCCAACTGGGAGGATTGAGGCACTCTCACTGCCCCTCCCTCCGTCTTCTCTGGCCTCCCCTGTTTCAGGTGAGGGCTCTGGGATTCCATAGGCCCAGAGGGGGTAAGGAGGCTTACGTAAGAACTGGGTGCAGTGCCCAGTGGTGAGTGCAAGCCATGGCTTCCCGGACCCTGGCCACTCCGAGCCCCATTGGTCTGAACCCTGAGCACTGACCTCACTGGTCCCAGTAGAAAGCGAGGAAGCTCTGTCACTGGTCCTTCGTCCTGGAGACACCCTGCCAGTGCATCACCTTCAGAGTGGCTGGGGAACATCAAGGCCTCTTCACAATAATGTAGGAACAAGGGGCCCTCTACCCTGGCTGCAGGCAGAATAATCACTACCCCTGGATGTGGTAGTGATTCTTTCCAAGAGAGGCTTTCAAGACTTTTTGGACCTGCCATCAGATTCTCACAGCCATTTGGGGAGGCTCAGAGAGTGAGCCAGCAAAGACTGAAACCTGATGAGAGGGGATTCCCCTCGCCCCACCCCCACCCTGAAACTGTGCTCAGAAGTGGATCCTCCTGTTGTTTACAGGCTTTGGTTATTTGGACAACCTTTTGGCTTTTGTTCTCTCCTTCCCCAGAGGTTGTCTTTGGGTCAGGGCAGAGTGGAAGAGGTGGAGAGGCTGCTGGGAGGCCTTGCCTCTGGCTGCTAGACCTCTGTGCCCCCTGGGGTGTGTTTGCTGTTCCCTCAGTTGTTTGTATTTTGAGGTGGAACTGATCCCAGATGGGGCTTTGGAGGCCCAACGGCTGGAGAAATATTGAGCTTAGGTCTAAGGCCTGCCTTTAGCACCCACCAAGTCATGGGCATGGAATATTAGACTCATATAAAGCAGGGAATTTGCACCGAAGCCAAGAGAGCTTTCAGCTGCCAGGGAATGGTGGGACCCAGCCTCACCTGGCTCAGCAGACCTGTGGACACAGGTGGCTTTTCTTCACCCTCCTGGAGCCACGCCCTGCCAGCCCAGAGGGCTCCCTTCACTCACTTGGGCCCAGGTACCTCACCTCAACAGCACGTCTTCCGTCTTCCGGGACTGACGGGAAGAGAGGGTGTGGACTTGCTTCTCTAACTCCATTCACCTGTGTCTGTCTGCCCGGGTCTATAATGCTACTTTGCATAGGCAGTCAGGGCCAGAAAGCACCATAGAGATGATCTGATACAATAGTGGCAAGCTCTTTCCTTTCCCATCACGAGCAGCGCACCTGCCTGTCGTGTTATTGACGCCATGACATCCTTCCAAGAACAGACCCAGATTTTTGTAATCTGGGCTAGAGCTGAGGGAGGGGCAGTGGAGTGAATGCAACCTCGTGCTCGTTAGCAGCATTCCCACTGACAGCATGCTGTCCAGCCATCCTGGTTGAGAACAGCTGATCCAGATTCTCATTTTATAAACGAGGAAGCTGAGGTCCAGAGAAGAGAAAGGGCCAGTCCAGGACCACACAGCCAGTTAGGGGCAGAGCTAGACGTGGAATCCAGGTCCCCCGACTTGCAGTCCATTGTACCCTGTTCCTACTTGTCCTGGAGGTTGACTGTGGAGCAGAGGCTGGGCAGAGAGGAAGGCACAAGGCTCATCATCACAACGGCTCACTCACAGGGACATCTGATATATGCGAGGCGCTGTTCTTTACCCTTCATCCTCACGGCGGCCTTTCCCCATTCCTGGCTCCTCCTGTGTCCCTATTCTACACCCACAGCCTCAGCTTTCCAGTCCCCTAGTCTGGAACCTCTGAATCACCTCTCTCCATTCTGCCCCTTCCTTCTTCCTGCTCAGTTCTGCTTTTCAATGGTTTAGTTCAGCCTCATCATCACTTGCCTGGATTCTTGCAACAGCCGCCCACCCCGTCTCCATCAGCCCATCCAGTAATAAACCTGCTGGTATCAGCGTAGTGTCCCTCGGGGCTGGTGAATTTTTATGAATCTGCTTGTGCTGTGCATTGATGATGACAGGAAGTCACCTCCAGGTTTCCATGGCACTCACCAGCATACTAAGTGCTTCCATAATCATTTTCTTGTGCAAGGAGTTAGGAGGCCTCGGTGCTAGTCTAGTTCCAAAGCCTGGAGTGGTCTTGGGGTCTTTCATGGTCTTGAAAGTGGAGATGCCCAAGTTCCCGTCCAGCTCTAACCACTCCCTGGCGCTGGTCTCTGTTCCAGACGGACTGCCATGCTGGTGTGAGCGGCACCATCTATGAGTATGGAGCCCTCACCCTCAACGGGGAGGAGTACATCCCCTTCAAGCAGTATGCCGGCAAATACGTCCTCTTTGTCAACGTGGCCAGCTTCTGAGGCCTGACGAGCCAGTACGTTGGTAAGAGCCCTCTGCTTTATTCTGGACCGTTTCTGCCAGTTGGGAATATTTCAAGGGGGGAGGGGGACAGTGATCATGAGATTCCAAACCGTGCATCCCGGTCCTCTGTGCCATGGTCTTGTGAAGATGATTATCTAAATCTTAGATCTGCTTGCCTTGGACATGTTCTAGAAGACTCCCTGCAATCCTTCATCCCTGAGCACAATTCCCCTAAAAGCAGGGGGATGGAGGAGATGGCGTTTGTGCCTGAAGTGTCCTTTCCCTGGAGAGGAATGGTAGCGTTGCCTTGCTGAGAATTTCTCACCTGCCTCAGCCCCATCGCCCTTCGTACTTCTCCTGGCCCCTATCTGGAAGGCAGGCAGTGGCTCGAGGTGTTTCACCCAGGTTCTGAGAACTCTAGTGTCCCCACTCATTTCCTTTAGCCGGGCAACCGTGCAGGCACAGGACCTTCAGCGCCAACAGGAAAATGCTCTGGGGCTGAGCACAGTTGGCTGGGAGGGGCTGGGAGGAAGCAGGGCACCTGAGTGTCCTGCCTGGCAATTATGTGAAATTCCTCCAAGTGCAGTGATGGCGACTGGGCTGCCAAGTGGGCAGGGATGCTCTGTTCAGAATGCTTCTGTCAGGCCTCGGAATAGAGCCGTGCGTTTGTGCAGGAGTACGGTTGGACATGGCCTTGTACAGGCCACGGGCAGAGGGAGCTGGGCCAGGGCCTCCCTTGGATCCCTGATTCCCAGAGTATAGGAGGGTTGCGAGGGCCCCACCTCACCCCAGGGAAGTCCTCTGCCTTCCCCCAGCGGGGGATAGTTCTTGTTCCAGGAAATAATCCTGAAGGAACTTGGCCGTGGGCCAGTGACTGAATACTGATTTGAGAAAGGGTGTTACTTGCTTCCCCCGAAAACCTGCAACCCATCCAGCTGAGTCAGGAGGGTGGGATTTGACTCCCAGCATTGACACGTTCGATGAGTGGTCCTGGGCAAGCCCCCACTGTCGGGCCTCAGTGATTTCAGCTGTACGACGGGCGAGCAGGCACTGGTGCGATGAGGCAGGGCTCCTCACCAGGCGACCCGGTCTCTGCTCTCTCTCCCTGGCCCAGAACTGAATGCACTACAGGAAGAGCTGCAACCATTTGGTCTTGTCATTCTGGGCTTCCCCTGCAACCAATTTGGAAAACAGGAGCCAGGAGAGAACTCGGAGATCCTACCTATCCTCAAGTGAGTGCTCAGGCAGCGTCCGGAAAGCTCCGCCAGCACAGCCAGCGCGTCCCAGCCGGGGCACCGGGCATCTCTTGCGTTGGCTCCCACTCATGACATTTATCAGCCCCGAAGAACTCCTCTCCCTCCCCAGGAACCCACTTAATGGAATGAGGGGAAGAAGGGACAGGAGGACTGGTTGTGAGCGCATGACGGACGGGAGAGTGCATGTGGGGGGCAGGGGTTACGGAGAAGGTACCATAACGGAAAGGAAAGACCGCAGAGCCACATTATGCCTTTGCCCAGTCAATACTCATGGGCTCCCACTGCCCACTATGGAATAGAACCCAGACTCCCCACACCCCCTGCCCTGCCCTGGCCCTTCCTCTCATTTCTGAGCCTTGTGCCCATCCATCTCCTTGGGACCCACCTATGAACATTTCTCGTAGGCATGTTCGGCCGGGTGGGGGCTTCGTCCCCAATTTCCAACTCTTTGAGAAAGGAGATGTGAACGGGGAGAAAGAGCAGAAGGTCTACACGTTCCTGAAGGTGAGTGCGCAGCCATCTCTGCGGAGGGGCTCTGCCCAGCGATGCTGGCTCTGGGCGGGGCTGCTTGGCTCCAGCCCCTACAGCAGCGGTTCTCAACCTGTGGGTCGCGACCCCTTTGGTGGTCGAACGACCCTTTCACAGGGGTTGCCTAAGACCATCCTGCATGTCAGATATTTACATTACGATTCATAACAGTAGCAACATTACAGTTATAAAGTAGCAACGAAAATAATTTTATGGTTGGGTCACAACATGAGGAACTGTATTGAAAGGGCCAGAAGGTTGAGAAACACTGCCCTACAGAGACAAGGCCCAGGCCTGTGCTGCCCTGCCCTGCTCTGCTCTAGGGAAATTTCTGGGCATCCAACTGTCGTTCCAATAGAGGGCTTTGCACTACCTAGATCTCATCTGCCCATTTTACAATAAGGCCCAGGCAGGGCCCCAGAAGGGACAAGGGTCTCACAATCCACTAGAGCCAATGACGGTTCTGAGATCCAGTCTCCCAAACTGGTGCTCTTTCCTCAGCGGCAGGCTGTTCCCCCGCGCCCGTCCCCCCTGCCACTCCCCCAGGAGGTGGGAGGGGCCCTGAGCAGGTTAACATTTTTCATCCCTGTTCCAGAACTCCTGCCCTCCCACCTCGGAGCTCCTGGGCTCGCCTAACCGCCTCTTCTGGGAACCCATGAAGATCCATGACATCCGCTGGAACTTTGAGAAGTTCCTGGTGGGGCCGGACGGTAAACCCATCATGCGCTGGTACCACCGGACCACGGTCAACAACGTCAAGATGGACATCCTGGCCTACATGAGGCAGCAGGCAGCCCTGGGGGTCAGGGGGAAGTAACCAGGCCTGCCCCACCCCACGTCCACCACGCGGGGCCGGGGAGGGACTCTGTTCAGGAAGGAACCCGTATCTCCAGCCACACTACTCCTACCACAGACCCTTCTTACTATACAAGGCCCCAGTATGCACACAGTGTGTCTCTACTGCTGTGCATGTGGGTGTTTGCCCACATGCCCACAGGTGTGAGATCATGTGTGAATGCACCTGAGTGTGCAGCCACATGTGTCTACCTGGACGAATACCCAGGAATGTGTACCAATATGTGCCCATGGCTGTGTGCTGTGGAGAATGCTAGAGAGTAACACCCTTTCTCTCCAGTTCTCTGCCCCAGTGATAACAATTCACTGAGCCGAGCCCAAAGAAACCAGCTCTAGATGCAATTATTCTGCTCTCCCTGGGCCTCAGCTTTGGGGCCAGCATCTCCCCCTGCCTCCAAGTACCACCACTGCAGTGCCCAGAAGTTCCTGGGTCTACCACACTGTCCACCCTCCCTCCGCTCCTCTGTACGTCTCTCTCCTTCCTGAAGGGCCCTCCCAAGCCCCTCCCCCCACCCCACAGTGCTCCCTGAGCAGCCAAGGCAGACGTGAGAGTAAGGGCCACGTTCCCCGAGTCAGGAGTGGCATCTCTATGAAGGAGGGGCCCAAAGCCCTAGTGGGCGGACCTCCCCTGAGCCTGTCTGAGGGGCCAGCCTTTAGTGCATTCAGGCTGAGACCCCAGGCAGGGATGCCACCCCTGCTACTTCGGAGGATGTGCTCTCACCCCTCACCCTTGCCCATTGGCATAGACTCACCCCCACCTGCCCAGTAAAGGCCTTTCTGCAGCAGCTGAGCCTACTGTGGTACTTCCTCAATGGGGCCGCTCCAGCGGACAAAGGAGGGGGAGGGTCGGGGAAGGGGAGATGGGAGGGTATGAGAAAGAAAGAAGACATGGAGTGCTTCGGGCCCTTGCTTTTTGGTTTCTACCTAGGCCCACTCTGCTTCTCTCAGCATTTGGAGTTTATGAAACATCTATTCTCATTCCCTCCCACAATCCTCCAAGGGCTGAGGCGAGGTGTTCTATGTGACGGGTGAGGAAAATGAGGCTCACAGAGGCCCAGGCCTTGCCCAATGTCTCCTGATGAGCGGTGCGGGACTGGAATGTAGACCAGGTCACCTTCCTCTGCCCCTGGATGCCCCATTCTCACGGAGGCTCTGAGCAGGACCCCAGGGACATCAGCCAAGAGTAACGGTGATGCTCTTGGGAGGCTGGGGGGTGGGGGGTGAGGTGGGGCACAGAGGACAGGGGCCAGGAAAGCAGCATTCTGAGTGACTGGGATGGAACATTAGCCGCGACATAAAAACACCAGCTACAGAAACTTCCATTTGGATTTATGTCCAAGATTCGTGCAAAGAGCTGCCCAGGGATGGACAGCCACCCCAATCCGGGCCTCCAGCACCACAAGCCTCCAGTGGCGGGGCCGAGGGTCTGGTCGCTTCAGGCTTGGGCCCCTCAGCATATGTGGCTGGCATGGCTTCATCCCGGGCTGCAGTGGCGAGAGCAAGGCTGCCGTGGCGGAGGTGGAGGGCCAGCAGCAGAACATCCCTCGTTCTCTTCTGCTCCCAGAGGCAAACCTCCTTTTCCCGCAGCTCCTCACAGAGGGAAGGGATGGGCGTGGTCTAGGTCCTGCTACTACAGAGCTTGAAGCAAAATTAAACACACACATGAATTGAACGTGGTCCCCAGAGGGGCTGGAACCCCTTCTGGGGTAGTTTTGAAAGAAGGGTCTCAGCTGCACCCCACTCTTGTGACTGACGTCCCCCGGCGGATTCCACAAAGGATGGCAGGTCCTCTCTCCAGGCGGTGGCAGGACAGTGAGTTTTTTCCAGTCGCGCCAAAGGCAGGGCGCAGACAGAAGCCTTCTGGGTAGAGCCTCCCCAATCTGCAAACAGTTCAGGTTGGGCCAGGGCATAGGCAGGTGGTCCCTCTCAGCTTCCTGTCTGGCTCAGACTCTGGCCACACAGAGCATGTGGCCTCTAGTTTTTCAGAAATCTGAGGTCAGCTGGCTCTGCAGGACGAAGGTGGAGCCAAGTGAAGTAATCTGGTCTCACTGAGGCCCCTTGCGGTCATTTTTTGCAGAGTCTAAATAAACAAAAATTTTGAAGACTTAAAGATGAGGTGGTACAGTAGGTTTCAAAGTCCTGTGGAAACCAATACAGTAACAGTGAAAGTAACAGCTCGAGTTATTAAGTGTTACCGAGCGCCAGGCCCTGGGCAAAGTACCGAAGGTACATTCATCATTCAATACATTCAGTTCAGCCCTATGAAGCAGGCAGATGACTATCCCTTTATGGAGGAGGGAGCTGGGGCCCACAGAGGTTCCAAAAACTGGCCCAAGTCCCAGTTCTAGAAAGTGTTGAAGCCTAGTCAGTCTCGCTCGATCCCAGAAGTGGGGCAGTTCCGGAAGAGGGGACAGCCCTGCCCATTTGGCCGCCTCTGGGGAACATGAGAAAATGACTGAGCAGCCCAATCCCTCCTCCCAACCACTAACTCCTCCAACCTCACTCCCTCCAAGCTGCCTACAGCCTCGGCTCACACACCTTCATGAAGGGGCCCACGACCTCCCGGCAGAGCCCCCCTGTTTCTGCACAGCTGAGACCCTTCCCAAACCCCTCTATACTAGGGGATCACACTTACCTGGTTCTGCAGGCCTAGCTGTAGGCGAGTCCATCACTTGGGAGGTCTGATTGCGCATCCCTCCATAAGGTGGCCGCCAGGTGTATCCTGGCTGCAACAAAACGTGCTTAGTAATCAACAACCACACTTGCAAATTACAATAGCAGGTACTGAACACATAGTAATCAAGTATACAGGTATCCCTCAGTATCCTCAGGGGACTGGTTCCAGGATGGCCCCCACCCCCAGGATACCAAAATCCAAGGATACTCAAGTCACTTGTATGAAATGTTGTAGTATTTGTATATAACCTACACACATCCTCCCATATACTTTAATCATCTCTGGATTACTTACAGTACATAATACAACATAAATGTTACGTAAATAGTTGTTATACTGTATTGTTTAGGGAATAATGATTTTTAAAAAGGTCTTGTTCAGTACAATCAACCATTGTAGGCCTAACTACATGGTGCATGTCAGCAACAACGTAACATTTTTTCCGGATATTTTCAAGCCACGATTGATTGAACCCAGGGATGTGGAACCGGTGGATATGGAGGGTTGACTGTAATGGAATCCTTACAATAATCCAGGTTGCCATCCCCATTTTACAGATAAGGAAACTGAGGCTCAGAGGGGCTAAGTAACTGTTCAAAGTTCATCCATCTAGAAAAGTGCCCAAACGTTTATTAGATCCCAGATTTCTATAACCCCAGAGTCAACCTCTTAA